TTATAAAATGCATCAAGTCTGAAACAGAAAAAAAATATTGTTAGTTGGGTTGTTGTTAAAGAATGAAGTCAGAAAATATTCACTATTTATTGTAATGCACTATTGCAGCTGTCGTTAGATTTTCGATAAATTTCACGCTAAAATTTACCTAGCAAGGTTGCAAAATATTGAAACTGAAATTATTTTCGGTTTATATGCACTAAAATCTACCAAAAAGTGATGGGCCCGTGGTTTTTAGCTGATCTTCCTCCTATGACACACCCTTATATATATATATATATATATATATATATATATATATATATATATATATATATATATATATATATATATATATATATATATATATACACACACACACATTTTTAGTCCCATATAAACTGTACGGGCAGTTCCCAATAGAGAGAGTTCACGGCGCCATCAGCTCGATGAACAAGCTTTGTGTGAAATATCACTAGTCTAGAACTGCTTTTGGTACTCTTGTGGTATAGTTTAGTAGTTCTGGTCCCATACATTAGGTCAGGGATTTAAGTAAATGCTAGTGGTGGGTGATTGTATATATATATATATATATATATATATATATATATATATATATATATATATATATATATATATATATATATATATATATATATATATATATATATATATATATATATATATATATATATATATATATATATATATATATATATATATATATATATATATACAGGTAACCTCAATAACTAATGTCTCGTTCAGCAATATTCCCCTTTAATGATGGTCTTGAATTAATACCATCTCACTGTATACCATAAAAAATTTTCGCTTTAGTGATATCCATCGATGTCCATTGGGTGGAAATTATTATTTTTTATCTCTAATGCAAACTATGGGTTGTTTATACTCATATAAATTGATGTCTTACAAGGGTTCCAACAATGCAAATTTTATTTTTCTACGTCAAGTCAGTGACATTTTATGAAACAATATTTAACCCGATGCACCACTCATCTCTCGCTACACTTGTCAGCCATGGTAATATCTACCCACCCTTCGCCACACAGCCAACCCGCATACTACAGTCCTGCACTTGGTAACTTTGTCAATCGCATCTCCCCGCCATCGTGTAGCTCCAAGATTATTGTTCAGCTTCGTTGGTTGTATGGACATTGTACGTGCTTAATTTTTGTTTCCCTTATAGTGAGAGAACAGCACTAACATTTAGATTGAACTGTGTTATAGTGACTGTTAAGTGATAATTTCTGTGTTTTTGTGACTGTAAAGTGTGTTGCCTCTGTTGTTGTGACAATGATGTGAGCAGTGTAGGCTTCTATCAGTGTTTTTACATTATCATCGTTTGCTCTGTTTTTGTGACTGTGAAATGAGCAGTGTAACTTTGAAAATGTCTGGGAAGGCCGAGGTATCCCACACAGTCTCTGGGGAGTTTCATGCCGCTTCACAATGTCAAGCATCACTGCAAAGACACTTCGAAGTGAAGCTTGACATTGTGAAGCGGCATGAAACTCCCCAGAGGCTGTGTGGGAGTCAGAGTGAAGCCTCCATGCCACCAATAAGAGTCTCCTTAGCCTCAAAGGGAACATGGAAGGATGACCAGGGTTGTTCTTCATGATTTGGTGAGTGTTGTTTAATAGTTTTCTTTTGATTTTATAAGTGTAGGCATTTTTTTTTGGTGATAAATGTGTGTTTGGGGACTGGCTGGGAATGTATCCCATTGAAATCATGTTATAATGCTCCCTGTCTACGATATTTCACTTATAAATTGGTTTTTCAGGAACCTAGCTCCATCGTTCATCGAGGTTTTCCTGTATGTATGTATATGCAGCATGCCCTTAAAATTTGCGGGGATTAGGTTCTCAAAATGGCTGTGAATAACATTTGCTGAACGGGTGGGGGGTGCAACATTTTTAATTGTGTGCAAATAAATGTATATTCCCTTTATGTGTTTGCCCTTAGGACAATTATTTCTTTTACCTGTTATTAATAACAAAGCTAAAAACGACGTTATATTGAGTCGTCAGGACGTTAACTGAATTATTGGTAACTAAAGAGTAGCGACGTTATAACGAAATAACGTTATCGGGGGCAACGTTAAACGAAGATTTACTGTACTGACATAGCGACCATTGTTGCTCAGTACAGTTGATGTCATATTTTCTAGTAAATGTCATTAATGTGTCTAGGGAGGTGCTCAAGGTCTGGCTGGTTACTCACCTCACCGCTCTCGATTGCACCACTTACGTAATGAGTCATAGCAAGCTTACTATTTGAAATAAAAAAAGTTGGGTTTGTTGCATTATCGCTGTAAATAAATTATCTACAAACAGTTTTATATGAGTAATCACGATAAAATAATTATTTCGAAGAGCAAGTGCGAGTAGAAAAAAAAAATTTTTTACGCTTAATGAAAATGTTTATACATACAGTACATCACTTTATACCTTCATTATTTCATGTGAATGCAATATGAACCGTATGTCATTATAAAGCGTACATATTTAGCAAAAAATAGTTATAGAAGAAAAGTTGTGAAAAAATTAATATTTCGCTTGGTAATAGTGGTGTAAATATTGTGTTACGATGAGCACACCAAGACCAGGTACAGATTATTAATTTTTTCCCTCAAAGCGTAAAAGATAATTGTACATATCGAGTCATTGCAAGCTTATTATTGGAGATAAAAAGTTTGGGTTTGTTGCATTAGCATTGTAAATACATTCATTAAATACAAATACTGTAGTTTCATATAGGTAATGATAATAAAATGGTTAAATCTATATGTAAGCACGAGTATAACACAATTTTTACTGCATGGCTGCCTCTCAAGCTTCCAAATGTGAATATTCCTCTCTCAAATTTTCTATATTTTTTACATAAATTATACATAATGTGTTTATAAATGCTTAGTATTTTCGAAATTCACATGAAATAATAATTGTAAGTCATTGGTTAACTATAGTTATAAAGTTAAATAATTTTTTTTAATGAAAATAAATGATTTTCTGTACTGTACTTACATGTTGTTAGATGTTAAAGAACATAAGAACATAAGAATGGAGGAAACTGCAGCGGGCCTATTGGCCCATACTGGGCAGTCCCGTTTACACCCAACCCCTATTGCTCATATGAGCATCCAACCTATGTTTGAAGCAATTCAGCGGATTCGAGTTAATGATGATATTTGGTAACTTGTTCCATTCATCCACTACTCTGTTTCCAAACCAGTGTTTACCTATTTCACGCCTAAATCTAAATTTGTCTAATTTAAAACCATTGTTACGAGTTCGCTCCTGGTTGGATAATTTGAGTACCTTTGTAATGTCCCCTTTGTTTAGCCCTGCCTTCCACTTATACACCTCTATCAGGTCGCCCCTCGCTCTACGTCTGAAGCACTTGGTGATGTCCCTCCGTGCCCCACAGTGCCGTACTTAGCCTGAACAAGGCGACTAAATCTAGTTTTAGTGGGAATACGGGTAGCACACACTTGTGAGGGAGATGAGCATCATGAGGTAAGCCACACTGTGATGGCTGAGGTGCCACATGTGCAACACTTTTTATTTATTTATTTTAGCCACAATGACATGCTGGGCAGTTCATTTTGCACTAGGACTGCTTTTTGAAGAGCCAGACAAACTACCATTTGCACTAGAAGGACTAGGGACACTGGGAGAGGCCTCAGGATGCCATGTACTTTTTATATCCCCCACCTTTGCCAGCAACATGAAGCAAGGTTTACAATTATCACAACACTGTTATCAATAGATTAAATCACTTTGTTGAATGAGAAATCAACACAAGCCACGAGAAAATGGTTGGAAATGTAGGTCAAGATTATATCTTGTGCCGTTGAACCACAAAGGGCGACTGGTGTGGTCACTCACGTAACCTTGGAGGCAGTCTACATAGGTGCCAGATCAAACTGACATTGCCAAATGTGTGTCTTGCATATCTAGCATTCATACGCAAACATGAAATTCTTTTATTGTAATTTTTTAGTTCATACGCAAATTTGCATATGAAAACCCTAAAGCGATAATTTAGATCATAGCCAATTTGCGTATGAAAACCCCAAGAGTGTTAAGATAAAAGTTACTGTACCCAAAATAATCAAGGAAGTATATTTTTATAAATTAAGATGCTTTATATATTTATTGTAAATGAAAAGGTTAATGTTAAATTTGATCTTGCAGGTGTTCACTGTACTTAACAGTTGTTGGAGAAAATCTTTAATGGCAATAATCTTTTTCCGGTATAGTATTGTACACTACTTCTCATGCCCATTTTATTTTTGCAGAGGTTAATAGACAAAACCAAAGTAACCTGTGTCCGATGGATACCAGGCTCTCCCAACCAGTTCCTGGCTGCCCACAGCAGTGGACACATGTACACATACAATGAGGAACTACTGTGTGGTGTTGACAGACCTCACTACCAGCTCTTCAAACAGGGCGAGGGATACTCCGTCTATACATGCAAAACCAAAAGTACTAGAAACCCTCTTTATAGATGGGTGATTGGTGAGGGAAGCATCAATGAGTTTGCCTTCTCACCGTGCTCAAAATACTTGGCTGTGGTGTCCCAGGATGGATACTTGAAAGTCTTTAACTTTGATACTATGGACCTAGTGGGTAGTGCCAGAAGTTACTATGGGGGTTTATTATGTGTTTGTTGGTCACCTGATGGTCGTTACATTGTCTCGGGCGGTGAGGATGACCTCATAACTATCTGGTCATTTCATGAAAAAAGAGTTGTGGCCAGAGGACAAGGACATAAAAGCTGGGTCACTGTGGTTGCGTTTGATTCCTTTACAACCTTATATAGTGATATGGATAGTTTAGATATGTGTAATGAAGACACTGTCAACACTGTCAAACACAATAGCATTGGCAATGATGTGAGGGGTAGTAAAGCAAATAATAGTGCACCAAATTCCAGGCCGAATTCAAACAGAAACTCTTTAGCCTCAGAAGGACTGGGGTTAACTGTAACTAGTTATAGGCTTGGTTCAGTTGGTCAAGACACTTTGCTATGTTTATGGGACCTCAAGGATGACGTTTTAACGCAACCATACTTGCGGCCAAGATCAAGCACAGTCGTAAGTAGCAGTGGAGGGGGGAGTGTAAGTGGGGGAACAGGTATACCTCAAACAGGACAACCTACAGCAAATGCCAAGTGCAACAATGTAAAAGAGTCTTCTGTTGGTAGTGATTCTTCTCATCACTCCCACTCAACTAATTCCCTCACGGCCAAATTGGCAAACCTCAACTTTGGTGAAAAAAAGGACAAAGAAAAAGGAGAAAAAGACCATAAACGAAGCCTAAGTTTAGCATCGAAAAATCCTACGCAAAATTGTAAAGGTTCTGTAAATAAAAATCAAGTAGGAGGATCAACTATGCCACCTGAGGAAAACTTCCGGCCCATGGGCACATCCCTCTGTCCACGTTTAGATGAGTGCCCAGTGCTAGAACCCATGATTTGCAAAAAAATTGGTCATGAACGTCTCTCTGGGCTCATCTTTAGAGAAGACTGCCTCATTACCTCCTGTCAGGATGGCTGTGTGCTCACCTGGTGTCGGCCGGGCAAACAGGTAAGCTTATTATTTTTTCTTAGATCTTAGTCAGTTTTGTATGGATATATCTGGAATTAATATTAAATATATTTTTTTTATGATTTAGCATCCATAATAAGAACTGTTCTTAATTTAAGAATATTTGAAAATATACACTATTTTTCTTCACACTCCAGAGAGGATTTCCCTGGACTCAGAAACTAAATTCTGAGCATATAGTAGTGCCTTTGTGTGCTATTTTATGAGCAGGTTTAAATGTTGTTTTTGTAATTTTAGTAAATGTTTTATAAGATTCCACAGAACTGCTGTGACATTCAGTAAGTTGGAGATCTCTTGAAACTAAAGCTCATAGTGCTTTTCTAATTTACCGTTTAATTTCTTAAACTGCCAAAAGTTACCGATAGAATTGTTATCTTGTTTTATAGTTTATTTTAAATATTACTAAGTCATTTCAAAAACAAATTATTGGGATTACCAGTGAAATTAGTGATGCACAGCCAAGGGCAAATGGCAAATATAAGCTTAGGGTGTGAGGTATAGGTACTGTACAGTACAATCTTATTTTAAGTATGAATGATCTGTTATGTATTTGTCAAGACATTGAAGCAGTATTTGTTGAACAGACACAGTGTGAACTTTTGCTGTCACCCTGTATGCAGGTACAGTAACTCGCATTTTACGCATGTTTGATTTAAACGTTTTTGGAATTACTCGATTGTTCAATCAATACCAAAAGCTAATTTATTTACGCTCACCTATTTTTGAAATAATGCGGTCAAGACAGTTTAAATTTGCTGTGCGTATTCGCCTGGTCGTGTGTGATGCCTGGTGAGTTGCTTGCAAGTTTACTATAAAGTCTCAGTCATATCAACATCAATGATTTTTATACTATTATTAATAATAATTATTATTATAATAATGTAATAATAAAGATTATTACTACAGTGAGTTCTGCTATAACGCGTGTTTTGATAACGCGAATTTGCTGTAACGCGATTTATGAATTAGGAACGATATTTGTATAACGCGAACGCTTGTTTGCTATAACGCGATTTTTGCTTACTATTTCTCCAATTTTGTGGTATTAATTGTGAATATGGTAAAGAAGAATATCTCCAAGAAGCGTTCTGGTGATAGAATTCCCGGTGATGATCGTAAAAGAAAGGATATAACACTTGAAGAGAAGCTCGATGTTATCAACCTCAAAATCACCCTTCTCCCCCATCAAGTTACATTCATATATTTTCAAGGTAAAGTGTTACATTTACTGTATGATTTCATTATTAGATATGAATGTAACATTTAATTAGACTGTGCTATCCTTTGTGTTAGGCTAGTTACTAAATTTTTTCGATTTCGAGTAATCTGCACCTAACCCTATTTTCTCCATAAGCCCTGTTATTTCTATTACGCGATTTTCTATAACACGATATTTTACAAGAACACAATTATCGCGTTATAGCAGAACTACCTGTACTAATGATGAAGATAATGATGACAATGAAGTATTCTGTACAACAACTGTGACGACGTCCAGCAAGCTCCCTGCGTATCGCTTCACACCAGCACTACCTTTTCTCTGTGCTCTCATTTGCATTGTGTGTTTATCACATACATTTTTAGTGTTAAACGCTGTTTTCCCCATTGACCATGTCTGGAAAACGTCCATCTGCCTCCTCTGGGGCGCCTAAAGCTTAAAAGGCACGAAAAACAATCGCAATGGACGTGAAATTATATGTGATGACCCGCTTTCAGAAAGGAGAGCGTGTGTCGGAGGTTGGCCTCGTGCTTGGTTCAAGTGAGAGAGTGTGTCGGAGGTTGGCCTCATGCTTGGATTAAGTGGGAGCGTGTGTCGGAGGTTGGCCTCATGCTTGGTTTAAGTGAGAGCGTGTGTCGGAGGCTGGCCTCGTGCTTGGTTTAAGTGAGAGAGTGTGTTGGAGGTTGGCCTCATGCTTGGTTTAAGTGAGAGCGTGTGTTGGAGGTTGGCCTCATGCTTGGTTTAAGTGAGAGAGTGTGTCGGAGGTTGGCCTCGTGCTTGGTTTAAGTGAGAGAGTGTGTCGGAGGTTGGCCTCATGCTTGGTTTAAGTGAGAGAGTGTGTCGGAGGTTGGCTTTGTGCTTGGTTTAAGTGAGAGACTGTGTCGGAGGTTGGCCTCGTGCTTGGTTTGTGGAGAGTGTGTCGGAGGTTGGCCTCATGCTTGGTTTAAGTGAGAGAGTGTCGGAGGTTGGCCTTGTGCTTGGTTTAAGTGAGAGAGAGGTTGGCCTTGGCTTGGAGAGAGTGTGTCGGAGGTTGGTGCTTGGTTTAAGTGAGAGAGTGTGTGAGGTTGCCTCATGCTTGGTTTTAAGTGAGAGTGTGGGAGGTTGGCCTCATGCTTGGTTTAAGTGAGAGTGTGAGGTTGGCCTGTGCTTGGTTTAAGTGAGAGAGTGTGTCGGAGGTTGTGTGCTTGGTTTAAGTGAGAGAGTGTGTGTTGGAGCTTGGTTTAAAAGTGTGGAGGTTGGGTTGGTTTAAGTGAGAGAGTGTGTCGGAGGTTGGCCTCATGCTTGGTTTAAGTGAGAGAGTGTGTCGGAGGTTGGCCGTGTGCTTGGTTTAAGTGAGAGAGTGTGTCGGAGGTTGGCCGTGTGCTTGGTTTAAGTGAGAGAGTATGTCGGAGGTTGGCCGTGTGCTTGGTTTAAGTGAGAGAGTGTGTCGGAGGTTGGCCTCGTGCTTGGTTTAAGTGAGAGCACTGTTCGTGCCCTGTGTGGTATATGATGGTTCCCCTAACCTGTACCATTTATATGTATTCTATGGGAAAATTATGTTTAATTTATGCTTTTTTAATTAAGCGGTGGTTTTCAAGAACGTAACCTCGCGTAAAACGAGGGGTGGGTGTAGTTCATTTATGTTTCGGTTGATTCATTTTTAATATAATTTTTGCGGCTCATAAATAAATAAAGTACTTTTTTATACTGTAATGGTTTTGTCCTAAAAATCTGGTGATGTGTAGTGTTGCTAATCAGTATTGTAGTGATAGAGGGGAGTGTAGCACTAGATAAAGTTAAGTGTGAGCAATGGGGTAAATTCACACTCCTTACACCCTCCTCTGTGTGGGTCTGTTAGATTTCACATATTAAAAGCTCTTGGCATATGGAGATGTCTGGAATTGCAGGCACGAAATTGCCAAAGAGTTCCTTCCATGCATATTGATATCAGCAGCCATTTAAGTAAAGTAGCTATCTGTAATGTTAGATTCTATTGGGAAGAATGGACCGTAACCATGCATATCGAGTGCTGATAGTATTACAGGTTAATTCCATTCATTTAGATCAGGCATAGGCAGCCCTTCCTCAGTCATGGGTCACATTACGATTTAGGTCTTTTTCTGCTGGCCAGCCAATCAAAATTTGTACCCCTCTCTTAGCTACCATTCAGCAACCAAAGTGTTATTTCTGTGGTGGAGCACGGCATAACCGACCTCAGTGTCCTGCGCGTGATTCAACTTGCCACAAATGCGACAAGAAAGGCCATTTTGCAAAAGTATGCAGATCATCTCGTTTCTCACCTGCTACTTCATCTTTCACTTGTGCGGTCTTACACTCTCCTACTTTGGCTGCAATATCTGCGACTTCCCCTGGCTGTCTCGCTCGATCTACCGTATATGTGCTTGTTAATGACGATACAGCTACAGCCCTTGTTGATACCTGGAGCTCAAAATCGTTTGTATCAAACCGCTATATACAGCAGAAATCTCTGAAGTGTCATCCAGGGTTAGGTCACATGTCTATGGCTTCGTCTTCCCTATCGTCGCCAGTATTAGGTCACTGTACTGTGGACATTACCCTTAAGGGGAAACTCTATCCAGATACTCGACTAACTGTTCTTCCCGACCTATGCAGTGACATTATTCTTGGTCAAGATTTCATGAGCCTATATAGTGGTGTTACTATTGATTTCGGTGGGCCTAAAGAGCACCTCATCATCGGAGATAATACAGTTGCTTGTAGCCTAACATTTGCTTTGGTCGATCCACCATCTCTTCTCTAATCTGACCTCCCCTTGTAAACCTCTTGAGATAAGTCAAGGTGATTTAGTTAAGCGGACAGGGCTTTCATCCAAGGTGAAGTGGATAAGATGTTGTCGGAAGGAATAATCGAACCCAGCACTTCACCGTGGAGGGCGCAAGTCCTCATCACTACTAATGAGGCGCACAGAAAGCGACTTGTTGTCGACTACAGCCAAACCATCAACAGGTATACCCAGCTGGATGCTTATCCCTTGCCCTGGAAAGATGACTTGGTGACTAACCTGTCTCGTTACAAGATATTCAGTGCTCTCGACCTAAAGAGTGCGTACCATCAGATCCCTATACGGGATACGGACAAGCCATTCACTGTCTTTGAGGCGAACGGTAAATTTTACCAGTTCCGTAGGGTCCCATTCGGAGTGATGAACGGCGTGGCTGGTTTCCAACGAACCATCGATGAATTCATACATAGAAACGAACTGCTGGGTACTTTCGCGTACATTGACAACATCACTATTGCCGGTTCGTCTCAACAGGAGCACGATGAAAATCTGTCCAGATTCCTTGAGGTAGCAAAGAAGTAAAAATTCACCTTCAATGAAGACAAATCTGTCTTCTCAGCAACGTCGATTGATTTGTTGGGCTACACCATATTGCATGGTACTCTCAAGCCAGACGCCGATCGCTTGCGTCCTCTGAAGGAATTGCCACTTCCAAAAGACTTACCTGCTCTACGACGCGTGATAGGACTCTCTTCATACTATTCTCAGTGGATCTCACACTTTTCTGACAAGGTCAGACCTTTGGTCAAGGCTCAGATATTCCCTCTCCAAGGGGAAGCAGTCTCCACCTTTGAAAATCTTAAAGAGGAAATAGCAAGTGCGGTAGTCAGCTCGATTGATGAGACGATTCCATTCATAGTAGAAACCGACGCTTCCGACTCTTCTATCGCTGCCTCCCTGAATCAAGCATGTAGACCAGTTGCATTCTTCTCGAGAACACTCTCAGACAGTGAGTGCAGACACTCTTCTGTCGAAAAAGAGGCCTATGCTATCGTTGAAGCAGTAAGGAAATAGAAACATCTGGCAGATACTTTACTCTCATCACCGATCAGCGATCTGTGTCCTTCATGTTCCACTCCAAGAAGCTGGGAAAAATCAAGAACGCCAAGATCCAACAATGGCGGGTCGAACTAGCCTGCTTTGACTACGACATTGTCTATCGGCCAGGGACTGAAAACTCAACTACTGATGCTCTATCCAGAGCCTTCTGTTTGGCTACCAACCACAACAATCTGTCAGATCTCCATCAGCTATGTCATCCAGGAGTCACAAGGATGGCTCACTTCATCCGTATTCGCAACTTATCATATTCTGTAGATGACATCAAGAAGGTATGTGCCGAGTGCTCTACCTGTGCCAGGCTTAAACCTCAGTTCTACAAATCCGACACAACCGCTCTCATCAAAGCTACTTGGCCTTTTGAACGGTTAAACATCAATTTCCCGAAATTGATACTTACTAACCGTGGTTGACGAACATTCACGATTCCCCTTCGCGTTTGCATGCGAAGACATGACCGCCGCAACAGTCATCAAGTGTCTGCATCAGTTATTCGCTATATTCGGCATGCCTGCTTATGTCCACTCGGATCAAGGCACCTCCTTCATGAGCCGAGAGCTGAGAGATTTCCTCACTAGTTATGGTGTGTCTACCAGCCGAACTACCCCATACAACCGTAGAGGAAATGGTCAGTGCAAGCGCTACAACAGAATAATATAGAAAACCATTGCACTCACTCTTAGGTCCAAGAACATCGTAGAAACTAATTGGGAATCTGTGTTACCTGATGCACTTCATTCTATTCGGTCTCTGTTATGTACTGCCACCAACAAAACGCCTCGTTAAAAACTGTTCAACTTCCAACGCCGATCAGCCCGTGGTAGTTCGATGCCAACCTGGCTCTCCTCATGGACCAGTCTTGCTACGAAGGCATGTCAGGAACAGTAAGTACGACCCTCTGGTTGATGAGGTTGAGCTTCTGGAAGCCAATCCACAGTACGCCCACGTTCGGTTCCCTGATGGAAGACAGTCTACCGTGTCACTCCGAGATCTGGCCCCTGCTGGACAAGCTGTTGCAGATACTGTTGATCCTGAACCGACTGAGTTACCTCGGTGCCCCTTGAACCTACACCCGGCACTCGAGTGGCTGAATCTCCTGTCAGGGATGACGTTTCAAGTGATACTCGTCTGCATGAAGCTGTTTTGACAGATTCACCCTCGCTTCCTCGTCGATCGGGTCGTGTAGGTCGGAAGCCTGATTTTTACGGTTGTCCTGATGTCTAATTTAGCAAGATGGGTAGAATGTAATAAAATTATGCTACACTTGTACACTTGAACCCGTCTTCTATCGTGTTATGTTATGTTTCTTATCATTGGGTTTTGTTTTGTTTGGGGTTATATTATATTAGCAATTTTCATTATTCCCTTCACTTACTAGAATATTCTTTTGTTCTCTTCCAGATGCCATACTACCCTTGGTCAGTTATATGAACAATAAAGCCTAGAAAAAGGTCAACTCTAGTCTTCTTTCACCACACTCTCCCAGCCAGCTATTGCTGCACTGCGTGCTTTAGATGTTAGGAACTGCCTCAGTACCAACCAGAACATGAAACTGATACAAATGCATCTAAAGGTTCGAAGTAACAGACTCAAGTTCATACATCTGAAACAGGCAGTGCAGCAGTAGCTGGCTGGGAGAGTTAACGAACTTTTGGGTGAAACTGTACCTAAAACTTCAGAAGAATTATTCTCCTAGTTAATATTTTTGAACTCCTGTATCATACAACCCAAAATTGACATATAAATACACCCCAGCAATATCTGCTTTTTCCATATTTATTTATTTATTTTTATTTGTTTTTTTTCAAGAGGGTTGTACTGAAATAAACATAATGTGTCCAGTAGTATGTTTATCCTTTCAGCCTGGGTGGGGGTATATACTGTAGTTATCTATGTGAATATGTTTTATCATGAATTCTTGTAACTAAAAGTTTTCTTTGTATAATCAAAGGTCTGTCTGTTAGAGGTTGTGTTTGCAAACATACGTTTAAAAACAAATTCATCCAACAAATGATGTAGCTGCATGGATAGGTGAAGTACTAGTACTAAGATTGTACTTCTTAATTATTTGTGGAAGATTTATAGCATTACAGTATGTTGTATAATGAGCTACAGTTGGAGATATCATCGTCAATTGACTATTGATGCTTTTTGTAAAACGTCAGTTAAGGTTGTTCCTCAAACAAAATCTTCATTAGCTTATACGGTGGTCCCTCGGTTAAATAACGGTTCGATTAACGAAATTTCAGTTAACGAATTACCTCCCATAAGGATCTTCAATTCGGTTAACGAACAAAACTTCGATTAACGATATCCTTATGAAAAACACGTTTTGTTGTGAGCATCAGCTGATTGGCTAGTCTGCCAATTCAGTAATCTGTTCTATGTTTACATTCGTTTTCAGTGGAGTAAATATCAAGAAAGTTGTGCTCTTTAATATTTTTGCATTTTTTATATTAAAATTATTAGTCATTTTAAAATTTAGTTAACATGTTGATAATATATGCAGTAGAGGGAACTAGTTTTTTGTGCGCCCATCAGCCACCAGGCGTCAGTTTGGCTTTGTTGACAGTGGAGTGAACATCGATTTTGTTGGTGTCTTGAATATTTTTGCATTTTTACATTAAAATTATTTGTCATTCTGAAATTTAGTTAACATATTGATAATATATAGCGCAGTGCAGTATTGATTTAAATAAAATAATCTTGAATTACACCTAGTGAAATTACTACATCAAGCATGGGTCCCCTGAAAGGTGATTTCTCCTCCATCCCCACTTCCTTCTCTTCTCCCTTGTCCTCTGCCCCCACTTCTAATTCCCATCATCATCATCAACCAGGAACCTTCTACATACACACCTCAAAGTAAGTGTACTTTACCGCATTTTTTTTTTTTACTTTGTATGTACTTTTCTGTGAGCTGGAACCAATTACCCAATATCCCATTGAAACAAAGGATTCGGTTAACGAAATTTTCGGTTAACGAACGGTTCTGTGGAACGAATTGTGTTCGTTAACCAAGGGACCACTGTAGTCGGAAAATTATTAATTTGGCCGTACTTTAGTCTTTAAACATGTATGTATTTATTTCATTGCAAGAGTCTCCTTAATCTCTTTGCATGTTAATAATGTACAGCTGTTTAAGGAGGCCATGACCACCTTGATCCTCTTTGTAGCATTTAACTGATGATTTAGTTGAAACTCTGGTTGTAATGGTAATTTATTTTGCAGCCTGGCAGCAACCAGCACTCTACACCCAGTCCAACAACTGCTGTGGCCATGGGTGGAGGTCCCATAGCCTCGGGTGGAACAGTAGTGTAGCCTCAGGAAGTGGTGGCAGTTGTCACAGATCTCTGGACAAGTGCTACAACATTGTGGTCATCATCCCGGACTTCTGGTGTGGGTGTGTTGCCGTGATACTATAATGTTATTGAGTGTGTCTGTCTTTACTGGTGGGATGGGGTGGGATATTGTAATGGCCAGTCAGTTTGAAGGTGGTTATATATTGTACTCTGTGAGTTGTTCAGAGGGCTTGATACTTCCTCCCCAAGTCATTGTTACTGATGTCTGAAGATTTCACAGCCTGTACTGACTGAACATGGGAATTGAGAGGGTGTAACAGTGAAGCCAGTTACAGTTACTGAAATGTGTCTTGATTTGCCATTGATAGGTGCCTAAGCTATTGCATTAACCTTTTCAAGCCCATCTCTCCTGCTCCTGAAATAAGTCATTTCAAATAATTCTTTGGATTTTGGGAATACGGATTTAAAATTCTATTCTATGTGTTATTATTATTATTTTTTTTGAATTTTGATGTTTGTGCATAACTGACAGGTATTGTCTTCACTTTGAGTCTGGTAACATTTAAGCATCTTTATTTTACAAATGTATTTCAATACTGTTCTGCAATTGGTGCATGAGTGCGTGTGTCTAGAGTCTATATGCTGATTTGTTGTGGTCTTTTTAGTGCTTGTATTAAGTTTTATCTTTATTATGCTTTATTTCTGTGACCAGTACATATTTCACCATAATGGTTCCATTTAACCCACTTACTGAAAAATAACCTTTTGATATGTCCCAACCCACAATCAGTCCTCCATCTGCATCCCTTTGTTTTCTTTTTATCAGCCCCTGAATATTCTATCTCTCATGAAGATTTTTCTCCACTTTCATCTTCAGTTATTCATTGGCTGAAATTTGTGGAGGAGATTTGCCTACAACCACCTTGCTTAATGTGTAAATAATGGCTTCAAAGTAGTTCATACTTTTATTTTTCTATATTTTGCTCTTGCAATTTGTTCTGAGTAATTGAAGGTGAAAATCAGTAGCAGTTATACAGTGGGTTCATAAATGTAGATGAAGATGGGAGCTCCAGAAGATAAAATGGTACTAATAATACACTTGTATAAGGAAAACTTAACATGCTGTAGTCAGTACATTTTGGTGTTACTGCTAATATATGTACTAGGTCCTTGTAGAATCTGTTTTTGTTTATTGTTTGTCACCAATGGGCAATATTGATAAATTAATATAATTCCAAATATTTTTAATTTTAATTTGAAATTCTAATTGGCATTGAAGCTTTGTGTTCCATATTAAGTTTAACCAGGATCTACTGGGAATTATGAACATTTTGACAAATTTCATAACATTGTTCTGGTTTATGTGTCAAGTGTCTGTTGCTCTTGATTCTGGCCTCCCTCAGCCATAGCATGGAAAGGCTTACAATAGTGTAAATGTATATTATACTGTTCCCCACAATACAGCAGAGATGACTTGTCTAGATTTCCCTTTAGTGACCTGGAATAATTTAATATCTTCAAGTATTTTCCATTTGGGTTGGCTGCCAGCCAAATTGACCAAATCAGATTATTAATTTGATGGTTAGGCTGGTTCATATCTGGGTTAATTTTATCATTCAAGAGTTGTATCAGTTTCTTCCTTTTGTTTATTGCTTGGCAATATTTAATTCATGGCCCCCTCAATGCCCCTCAATCTTTGGGTCATCTCCATAAATATTCACTGTAAAAGTTGGTTTTCCATTACTATCCACACTAATTCCTTTTTCTTCACAGAATACCTAATCAGTTTGACCCATAAATGTTGTCGATGTTTGCATTACAACTCTTCTTTATTACAGAATGTATAATTTTAGACTAATTGTAATTTTTTCATATTTTTCCTGATATTTAAATGAGCCATAAAAAATAATTTCTTAACTTTAAGAGCTACTAAATTTTCACAGCCCAGTGGTCAAAATATTTGGTATTACATGCTATTATGTGACAAGACTCACCAGTTACAAAGGAACTATAAAATTACATAGCAGTGCTAGCAATTCCTTCATTGATACAAAACAAATCCAGGTATTGCCTTTTATTTTTTAAAACTATTATGCCTTTTACAGCTTGACTATGTATGTGTCTGGCTTAGAATCCCTCCTACATAAATATTCCTTTGAAGATCTTGTTAACTTTGATGATGTAATTGCAGCAGGTACAGGATGATTACACCACAAGAAAGATATAACAATATCAAAGTGAACAATATTTTAAATGTTGAAGTAAGACTTACTTTCTTTAAGGTGAATTATGGGTGCTTCCTAGGAGGTCTTTATACTGTAGTAAATGTTAATCATGTTTACATTAGTTATTGCTGCTCTGAAGCAAAATGAAACATGGTAGTTCCTTAGTTCCTGATATTTTCATATTCTTGTATCATCCTTCTTAGGGTTATTAATTCATGATTATTTCTGTGGTATAGAGCTTTTAAATATATATGCAATTATATACAAAAGAATTTGTAGAAGCAATTTCCAGTGTTAACTGGGAACTCATATGCTGTACATACCATTGTAATTTAATATTGCATTGGAATCCTGAGTTAATTTCTCCACACACACACACACATATATATATATATATATATATATATATATATATATATATATATATATATATATATATATATATATATATATATATATATATATATATATACACACACATTGTGTGTGCATATATATATATATATATATATATATACACACACACACACACATATATATATATATATATATATATATATATATATATATATATATATATATATATATATATATATATATATATATATATATATATATATATATATATATATATATATATATATATATATATATATATATATATATATATATATGATGCTTTTGGAATTATTTTATGCATTACAGTATATTCTTGCTATGAATGGGCAACAAATTCTTGTTCAGGTTGAGAAATACCTTATTTTTGCTTTATCAGATCACAGCAATGTGGGGGATGAGATCTGTCACTTCAGGTATTTGACTTGATTGCTGATATATTTTTTTCCTCTCTCTCTCTCTCTCTCTCTCTCTCTCTTCCCACAACCATGTTGTGGTTCAATTCTTATTTTTTTGGCAATTTGATAGTGCTATTAATTTATCACACCAAAATAATATGTTGGGTCACCTGCTTTACAGTTAAGCCATATTGATTAAATAACAACTTTGTTTATAAACTGTCTTGGTTGGCTTTAAGCCTGATGTTTTGAACTCAGTTGGTTTCTTGTCAAATTAATGATGATGTTTTGGATCACTAAAAATGTAATGGTTCCCTTCTCTGGATATGGTAACCACTTGATGGTCAAGCTAGTTCCTTTTTCAGTAGGGTGAATGATTGAGTTTTATTTGTTCACATACACTTAAAAAAAAGCCAAATATGTAATTGTTTTCCTGAATTTGATTGAGATAATTTGGCTTGTTAAGACATAGCTGAGAGTTTAAAACACACACACACACACACACACACACACTAAAGAGAGCGTATTATGCATAATAACATAGAATAGGGATCTAGAATGCACACATTAACAAGAGCAGCATTAACATGTACTGTATCATAAGTTTCAATGGGAAATAGGAACTGGGAATGAAGGCCTAAAAATACATTAAAATAATAAAGCGATAAAGCATACCGTCAGTAATTTGTCAAGAGCCCATTCTATACAATGCACTGCACAGTCTGCTTGAGGCTGTTTCATTCTTTGTTTACACTAGTCACGTGTGGTTCACCTTTGTTATGCTATGTTAATGCTAGTCAAGAGTGATGTGATGTTTTTCAAACCACATACCCTATTATTTCAGCCTTTAATTAGGGGGCAACATTTCTGGAAATGGCCTCATAGTAAACAGATGGTAAAAGTGCCAAAAGAGAACAGGAAGCAATAATATTAGATGTGAAGTTAATGTGATAGGGAAGTTGAAGCAGAAGAAAAATTTATTAAAAAACAGTAAACCTCATTCCATCTACTGTGGCATCTATAGTTTGTAACCTTTTTTTTCTGTATCAGCCGACTGGAAATGACATTTTTATATTTAAATATAAATATATACAGAACAGTATTTGGTAGCCCAACTGTGTGTGTCAAATATGCCTTTGTCTAAGTGCTCATCAGTGAAGTTATATAAAGATATTTAGCCTCTATCTTCTGCATGTTTATATTACAATTGAATGTTAATTGAGAAAATGAATTATTTTATCTTCAAAAAGAAACCCACTTGATTTTAAAATATTTAATTATAAATCTGTACACTTTTGTAACCCAAGAATTTTTTTTTATCTTAGAAATGTACATTACTGCTGCATCTGAGCTTTTGTAAAATATGCACACAAGTATGCACATCACATTTTTATTTGAAAAATATCAATATATTGTATAAATTATTATTTCCAATATAAACCCACCAGGTAATAAGACCTTTAGAAGTAAATCTTTTGAAAACTTAGTACCTTGACCATTTTGTTCATCCTATACATGTCTGTATACAGAAATGGTACATATATTTGACTTTGGCAAAGTTTGGGAATTGATGATCTGGAAGAAGGTGATGTGATGGAGCTGCTTGAGTCTTACTTAGATTTTGTAGAGCTTACAGCTGGAGGAAGAGAAGTTAGCACAGCAGAAAGATGTTGCTGCACAGCAGAACAGCTGATGATAGAGAGACTGTCTTTTTACCTCATGCTCATTGATCAAATGATCCAGGAAGGGATTTATATGGATTCCAACCTGGATTAAAGCTTCCATATTTGTAAGCAGAGTAAATGACACCACACATGGTGACATGACTCGCACCTCAAGACCACCCCACACCCCTGCTCATTTATATAGTTAAGCTCTATATCTGTCACACATTTTATTGACTTACCTATTTTATTTTTGTATGTCAGAAAGGTATTTTAGTTATCCATTAAACAAACAGGAAGGCCTCTAGTGGGGAGTAGAGGCACTGGGCAGGGAGAATTTCTGTGACCTGGGTTTTTTCTAAGACATGCTTTATGCGCTACTGAATTAACTCATATTAATGGATGTAATTTAGGATGATGCATTAATTAGAACTCATTAAGACAACTGTGTTAATGTGAAACTCTACTGTGTGTGTGTGTGCACATCGATGCAACACTTTTTTTTTTCCCCCTTTACAAGCTTCATCCTGCTATGGTACAAGGTGGCTGGACAGGTACAGATTTTCAATAGATATTGAGTTACCCCACCCTGGTAGGATGCTAATAGTATACTTATTTATTTCTAAGTACACAAGGGCTAGTGTACAGGGGGGGGGGGGAACTTAATCATCTCTGGTCAGGAATCAAACCTGTGACCATTTACTCATCTCACGAATTGAACGCTTCACCAACTGAGCTCAATGTTTGGCTTTTATGTTATAATGAAAGAAATTATTTTGTTATCTAGCTTCTGTATACATATTTTCTACTGAATATTGTTAAGAATTTGATGCTTGAGTTGTTGTCCCTGCCACTTGACCTATATTGAACATTGGTTGGTTTGTCCCTCACCTGAATGGATGGTCATATCAGAGTTTGGTCAAAGGATATAATGTTCCAGACTTTGTTACTTAGCCATTAGGCAATACTTGTATGTGATAACTTAATAATCAAGATGTGTCCCTACATATAAACTCTTCCAGTCTGTTGGAGGTCTCAAGAGACACGCCTCGTATTATTACTCTCAGTATTTCTCCGTGTGTACTGAATAGTTGCAGAAATGTGTCTCGCATCCACATTATCCTTGTCTGTTGGAGGATTTTAGAAGACATGTCACGTATACACACTCTAAGTATCTCTGGAGGACTGTGGAAGAGATGACATTACAATAATCAATTAACAGCTTTAACCTTCACACTTATTATAACCAGGTGCTGTGTGTTTGTAGTTTGATATTATATTTCAAGGGATCATAGCAATATGTAAATTTTGTGTGTGTTAACCTCCATATAGATCTTCATTGAATAATGATTTTTTGTGTGTGTTATTACATTGATTTTTATACATGAATGATATTCAGAATAAATAGTATCCAAGTGGATGGTAAATTTGTTTCTGAATATAACGTAAGTATTTTAATCCTTCTGGCCTAATATTCTTCTTAAAGATTTAATTGGAAATTTTAAAATTGGAATTGGCTTTGAGCCATAAGTGAATATTGTGTTGAATGCAGCAAATTATATAATCAAAGTTAGTAAAGCTGCCTTTCATTTTATGTACCGGTAGTCATGGTTATTGAATATTGAGCATGTAAGCTCATACAGATGTGCTTGCTGCATGGAGGAAATGTGAATGATCGGGATTCCAGTTATAATTTTGTTAAAATCTAGACCCTCTGAAGAACACTTAGTCTTGGAGTAATTTTTTTTTATTTAATTTGGCTGAAAACCTTTTAGTGATTTGTGTATTAAACTAATTTCCTAGCCGATACTGAATTATTGTCTGTACTGTTGACCTCCTCCACTCTATACACATTATTATAGAGTGCTTGAGGGTATGGAATTGCCTTCAGTGGTCATATTAGCCAAATGTGGTAGACAAATATACACCCATTTTGTCTGTTATTTAGCAGTGTGATTGAATTGTGTACTTAATAAAACTGGTAAGAAGTTTTTTGATAACCCACCTATCATGTTAGAATTGAAATCACTTATCAGCCATGTTAGAACTGAGATAACTTTGCAGCCAGGATGGAAATGGTATAATGAGTCAGACATGAAGGAATTTGAATAACCTGTCAGACTATAATATAACTGAAGTAACCTGTCAACCATGATAGAACTAAAATAATGTGTCAACCATGATGGATGAGAAAAAACCCATGAGAGCACTGAAATACTTTGTTAGTAATGACACTACTAAATACCTCACAGGACTCGTAATAATTCACAGCTTTCCAATATCCCTGGGACAGTTGAAATCGCTGCCAGATGGGATGGCTGAATTGGTCTTCTCGAACCTGAGGATGGTTGGATGGTTAACTCTCAAAAGTTTTCCCAAGTTCTTTGTCTCTGTTGTGTCCGTTTCTCTGCAGTGAACGTACAAAAATCTTGAATATTATCGGTATAGAATTTGTTCTGAAAGGCTAGTAATCAGCGAACAAAATAATAACGGTGGTTTGAAATGGTGGTCCAAGGATTCGGGGTGGTTCATAGGACTCCTCAAGAGGGCACCTGGATGTTTCACTTGATAATTCAGGAAGATTGTGTTATGGTGTAAATGATTGGGAAGGTTCCTCTTGGACAATTTATTAAAAAAATTAAAATTTTAATTCGAGGCCTGCTGTATCATGATGGGACTCGGTATCCTGCCAGTCATAATAATGATTGGAACACAAAGACTAACAGAATTCATTGTGTTGTCCTTCAGTAAACTATATGCAATAATTTTGACAATATTTGTTAGCAATTGTTGTGTGATGGTACATAATCTATAAAACCTTACATTCTAGAAGCTTATCCTTTAATTTTTAAATGTAATCTTGTGTCTCTCTGTTTACGGATTACTAAAGTAAGGATAAATACAAGGTGGGAACAGGT